TACACACACTGACACACATACAGACACGCATATACAAAACCTGAGACACATGCAAAGACACACAGATATACTAAATACAGATACACAGATATACATACTGACAGACATAATGACACACTGACATAGTGACACACACTGACAGACATACTGATACACACACAGACGCACACAGACACCCTGACAGACATACTCACACACACATACTTAGATACACACAGACATACTAAGACACACACACATGCAAAGTTTACATTTATAAAGCCACCCTCCAGCCCTACCTTATGGGTTCCCTGGGGTCCAGCGGCAGGCTGAGGTCATTGGGAGTGTGAGGCTCCTGCACTCCAGCTCCCTCCTGACGGCCTCCTACTCCATCCCGCGCGGCTTCATTCTATCTGGGAGGAAGTGACTCACGGCAGTCACTTCCTCCCAGCCTGCTGCGGTAAAACCACGGGGTCAAAGTGCCCGACCGGGGCCTCTTAGTGTGGGGGCTCCCGGTGCAGTCGCAGCACCGGCGGGCCCAAGGGGCAAATAAATTTATTTATTTTTTCCGGACAGCGGGGCCCACGGGGTAGCTGCTTTGGGCCCCCCCAGGAGTAAATGGGCCCGGGGCAGCTGCCCCGTTTGCCACGCTTTAAAGACTGCCGTGGCAAGTACTACCCACATTACCTCCTTACAACAGGAGATCCAGGGTCTGCAAAGCCGCAATGACGAATTCAACCGGAGATTCGCAGCTCTGAAAGACACGTGCCGGGCGACCAACCTTAAGGTATGGGACATATCTGATGAAATACCTGCAGCTGAACTGCCGCACCTCAACCTCCTGACGGCACTGTTATTACCGCGGCAGGCCAAGGCCATAAGCTTAGAAGGCATCTTTAGAGCCCCAAAGTCGTCCAGAGCCCCACCTGTGCCCCCGAGTCCTCATAATCCGTTTTCAACATAGGAAAGATAAAGCAGCAACACTGGCAGTGTACCCCATACACATTTGAAGTGATGTCACTCTTATCTTTTGCGGATCTATCAGGAGGCACTCAGGCCTGGAGGAGGTCCCTCACACCGATTACCTCACTACTCAGGCAACAAGGCATACCATATAGATGGCGCCTCAACCGCTCCCTACTCGTCATGAAGGGTGAGGACACACACAAGATCTACAATTTGCAAGAAGCAAAGGGCCTGCTACCTACACTGGGACTGCCTCAAGATGCTATGCAGCACGTGACACCTCCTGACACCGCCAGACCACTGCACAGATGGGACCCAGAGAGGGTGACAGCCCTTGTGCTGAGACAGCCTAGACAAGGCACCTATGCTGCAGCCACCACCTGAAAGCCTCACAATGCCCAATAGCAGTGGTTTGCTGCTAATATTATGCTCTTATTATACTGCTGTTTTGCTATGTCCACATTGCCTCTCAGTTGATTTACTTTTTCTTTGAGTTATCATCAGTACACAGCAACAAAACTAGCTCCTATAACACGTACCAAATGACTTGTAACCAGTTCCAAACTCAACCCCCCTACCCCCCGCATCTGCCCATATATGATAGTGAGACGACAGCAAACAGGTAGACAGATGGTTAACATCTATCTATGGTTAACATCTATCTATGTAACCATCACACTAGCCGAAGCAGCTACACAAGGGCCTAGCGAGGAAATGTGATGTAAATAGGCTAGCTTACCGACCCAGAGTATAGCTTTACAAACCTATAATAATGCTTAACTTGTACCTCATGCACAACACACATTGACTTTCTATTAAGAGAACCACACACCTGACTCCATGCATTCATAAAAAAGAAACATTTTGTGCTGTTGTTTTATTGCCATAATTTTGTATTAACATGTGGATATATTCGGCGTGTTCCTGCTGTTGTGACACGGCACACTTGTTTGTTATAAATGCGCAACAAAAATAAAGAATTATAAAATGAGAAATCTTAATGTATATGTTTCGTGTGCGGTAGTGGTCATGGTGCTCAGTGTGTTTTTGAAGTATTATTACATTTAAAATGTGTACCCATCTGACATATTTTATCAGATCATTTCAAAAAAACATAATCTTCTTTTCTTCAGCACTTTGGTAGATTGTTGCTTTAATTTTTGTTCTCCTTTTTGATCAAATAATTCCAAATCTTTATTCCAGTACTCAGGTAAAACATCTCACACATCTCATCATAAATGTGAGATGTCACATCGTGAACAATCCAAAAGTCAGTGGAAAAATCAGTTTTACATGGTGAATCAATGTCCACTTTTAGACTGTCAAGCAGTTATGAAATACTTCCAATGAGTTTCACTACTAAGCACCCAAGACGCTTTAAGATGGAGATAATGTTTTAGTAAACACTGACATATCAAACAAAATATCAAATTGAGGAGATGCTCACTGTTAGTCAAGCCAATGTTGGGTTACAATTTACTATGTATTTGATTACAGATACGGCAACTATTTCCAAGCAGTTCTTTGTGGCAAATCTAAGAATATGAAGAGAAAGCAGGAAGTAAGGTCTATGCTACTTTTAACTGAAGGGTATCTACAAGCTCTAAAGATATGTATGAAGTATAATTCCATATACCATTGGTAAAGCATTCATTTAAAATAATCAGATCATTTTAGAAAATAAAATTAGACTATTTCTTCTGCAACATATTATCCATAAGCAGTTTTATTAGCCATGTAGCAGCAAAGGATTGTAGTCAAATGATCCTCTTTTCAAGAGTGGATTGGTATGAAAAAACTAATTTTGATTACACAAAGATTAGTATGAGAGCAGGCTGGATCAATGAAGAACCTTTAAATGAAATGCAGTGAGCAATAATATGCAATGTTAATAATCACATTAATCAAGATAATCATGCTCCAACCTTATTAAACTCCCATGCGAACTGAATACCCAAAGAATGTTTTTTTCATGAGTACCAATTGTAGAAAGGTTTATAATGGAATCTCAAATGTTTGTGGAGAAAAGGCTTAGCTATTTACAAGGTTTACAAAAGCTCAGAACTTGGAATTAATCCAGTTTAATTATGCACACATCATCATGCGCTTTTCACTGTTTACACGGGTACAATAGACTAGCTCCTAATCAAAGGCAGGTAAATGCCTAACTAAGAGTGTGACAATGCCATTTTATTTTTTAGTTTGATAAAAGTATGCAAGAAAAATACAAAAACAATACAATAGAAAATAACTCTTTGTTTGGGAACATGAAGTGATTTTAATTTGGTGACACAACAAGAAAGACAGTAGACTTCCTACATTGACATGCCTGACTTGCCTGTAACTAAATATTACATTTTCATTGTGTGGCTGCAACTGTAATCTTGTAACTGGCTTTGTTTGAAGGAGCTTCTATTACTATTGCTAGATGCTCGAAATACAGAATTCTTAACATCTTATTAAAGAGGCAAAACGATTTCAACATTCCAATCTAAGTTAAAAACGAACTGTCACTTATCAGTATTGTTTATATGTTGTTCACTTTTCCTTATGTTTTACATATGTTTTACATATATATATATATATATATATATATATATATATATATATATATATATATATATATATATATATATATATATATAGCATAGAAAGTCACACCTATTTTGCAACTGTCCATCATATTAGTTTCCTAATCAGTCATTGTTCTAAGCTCCTTCCTTTGCACTTGGCAGTCAACATAGAGAAAGTGTTCAGAGAAGAAATAATTTAAATAACTTTTAAATTTTTCCTTTAATCGCAAGGTTTGTCATAGCTTTGCTGAGCTGAATTATGATGACAATGCTAAACATATAATATGCATTAAAAAAATTGAAGCACCTCATGGAAAAAAAAAGCTTAACACAAGTTATAGGGGATTTTAAAGGTTTTACTCAATGTTGTATAAGATCAGATAAAACTGAGGTTCCTGTTGTAGGCTAGTTGTCAATTTAATTGAGGTTTGATTGTGGAAATTTTTACCCCTGTAACCAGCGATGTATCTTACACGAGGCAAACAAGGCATTTGCCTTGCATGGCATTTTGCAGGGGGTGGCAAAAAAAGCTGCCCTAAACGCCCAGGCGGATGCCTTGTTTACCTCGTGTCCGGGGGGGCTCAAGAGCTGGTCCGCTGGCCACTTTTTGAGCCCCTCGGAGGTGGGCGGCAGCTTCTATCGCAGTGGGCAGCGAGGGAGCAATCTCACCTGAGCTCTTCTTGCTCAGCTCCCTGGCGCGCTGCTTATTGAAACAGGGTGCCGGAATATGACATCACTCCGGCTCCCGGCATCTCTAAGGGGTGCATTAAGCAGAAAGATTAGAGCTCCCTCGCCGCCTACTCTGCCTGTTCGCCCCAGGCCTGCCCGTGCAGCAGCCCCACTGGACCGCAGGTAAGTAATCAACTCCAGCTCTCCCAGGGAGGCTGGGTGGATTTAAATTAAAATTAAAAAAAATAATAATAATTTTGGAGTGTTGGGGGAAATGTGTGTGTGTGTGTGTCTGTGAGTGAATGTGTGTCTGTGAGTGTGTATGTGTGTGTCTGTGAGTGAGTGTCTGTCAGTGAGCGTGTCTGTCAGTGAGTGTGTGAGTCATTCAGTGTGTGCGCCTGTCAGTGAGTGTCTGAGTAATAGTGTGTGTCTGTCAGAGTGTGTCAAATCAGTTAGTGTTTTGAATGTCATTGTTTGTCAGTGTGTCTGAGAGTGTGTGTCTGTCAGTGAGTGTGTGTGTTGGTTAAGCAGTATATGTGCCAATGACTATCTTTTAGTGAATGCATCAGTAAGAAAATGTCTGTCAGTGAAAGTGCGGCCTTGACAGGAAGGGGTGGAGAAAATGTAAATATGGGGTGGTGGGGTGCCCAAGCACCATCCTGCCTAGGACAGCACAAATCCAAAATACAGCACTGCTTGTACCGCTAGTGTTTCTGAATGATTATATACAATTATTATCTGGGAAAAAAAAAACTCAAATTACAGTCATTTTGTGCAGATGAATCTAAATAGACTAAAAAAAGAGAACAGGTCAGCTTGGCTCAGTGGTAGTATCATAGCCAATAAAGTTTAACCAAGGCATGATTGCTGCTAATTGAAAAAAAAGGGTAAAGGTCATCTTTTCTGAATGCTAATAATGTCAGTAGTACACTGTATATGACATGCATTAAGGTTGGAGGAGTAAAACTGCACAGTTAATTATGTAGTGGTAAAACCTCAACTCCCGGGCAAAGGTGTAATGTCAGGTTTATATAATATTTATGTATATGGTAAATAGCAATGACATGATTTTAGACTGAATTTTAAACCCCATTTTATCGCAGGGATACATAATAAATGCAAATTGTATTATGTTAAATCTCTGACTAAAACATCCATTTCTCTTCTTCTAATAACACCCTTCAGTTGCTATAACAAAATCTAGCTCCAATCTCCAAAGCATCCCATGCTCCCCAAAAACAGTATATTTTTTTTTTATTTCACGTTACCTTGCTAATTGATCTAGAAACTTTCATACACCTTCATTAATTATAATGTCTCATTACACTTTAGGAAAGGTCACTTTGTTGTCCATTGTAACATTCAAAGTTTACTTCCCAGAATGAATGAATTGAAAGCTTGCCATTTTATTCCTTTCACTGCTAAAAATATGTATACACATGTTTAGCTTCAAGGTGCATTGCAATTCCATTGCAGCGCTTAATCAAATTACGATGGTGAATTAAAATGTATTAATTAAATTAATTAACAAATACAGATTCTCCACTCTTCTCACTCTGATCCTTACCTGCAAAACTGGAAACATGGCTTTACTAAATAATGAATAATTATGTCATGATTCAATTGGTCATGCAGTTTACCTGCTAGTAGAAAGCTGTTAATTGAATTACAGCTCACAGAAATCCTTACATTTTCCTTAAAATGATATTCCACTGCCCAAATAAAATTAATTAATTAATATAACTGTTTAGTAGCTATACCCCAAATGAAAACATGTATGTATTTAAATATGCATTTTTCATTGGCGGTACATTGAACAACCTTCTGGTCTGCTTCCTGTTCATTCCCCCTTCTTCTTCCCCAGGCTAAACTTTTTGTAGCTGTCCAATCAAAGACTTTCCAATTCAACTCAATGAGAAGTCTCTGTAAGGCAGATGCTCTGGGCAATTGCTGCCTTTTAAAGGACCACTATAGGCACCCAGACCACTTCAGCTTAATGAAGTGGTCTGGGTGCCAGGTCCAGCTAGGGTTAACCCCTTTTTTATAAACATAGCAGTTTCAGAGAAACTGCTATGTTTATGTTAGGGTTAATCCAGCCTCTAGTGGCTGTCTCATTGACAGCCGCTAGAGGGCTTCCGCATTTCTCACTGTGAAAATCACAGCGAGAAGACACCAGCGTCCATAGGAAAGCATTGTGAATGTTTTCCTATGGACTGGCTGAATGCGGGCACAGCTCCTGCCACGCATGCGCATTCAGCCGAAGAGGAGGAGAAGAGGGAGGAGAGGAGAAGGAGAGCTCCCCGCCCGGCGCTGGAGAAAGAGGTAAGTTTAACCCCTTCCTCTCCATCCAACCCGGCGGGAGGGGGACCCTAAGGGTGGGGGCACCCTCAGGGCACTATAGTGCCAGGAAAACAAGTATGTTTTCCTGGCACTATAGTGGTCCTTTAAGTTTAGCTTCACTGAGCTACACAAACCAGAAAGTAACATGACTGGTTGTCAACCTGATTAAAAACCAGGGGCTGTGTAACAAAAATAAAATGGAAAATCTCCATTTTTGTAAAATCACAAAAATGAAGATGCACTTTTCACACATAAAGCACTTCAGCAAGATAAAGTGCTTTAGGTGTGTGGAGTGGAGCTTTAAATCAATGTTTTATGGAACAAGAGTGCTATAGATAATTAAGTGGGCTTCACTCGTTTCCTGCTTTGAAGAGAGCTTTAGATGCTGCAAAATATGTGAATTGGCAATAAACACAGAATTTTAAACTAAAGCAAAACATTGCATAGCACCTATAACTTACATTAAATTTTTTTTGATGTGATGCTCCATTTTCTTTAAGGAACATGACCGGTGTATCGTCGCCATATGGGCATTCGGAACCTTGGACAAACCCTCCACATACCTTTCCCAATAAGACACTGACACTATGGTATATGGGTAAAATTGTCCACAGCTTTATTAAATAGTCATAACAACATAGAAACTTTAGGTCATTGCCCTATGCCCCGCCTTCACTTCTGTATCCTTCTGTTAGGTATAAAAGGCAATGACCCCACTATAAATAACATATATATATATATATATATAACATTATACCAACATAAACAGCACTTAAAGTGCCAACAATTTATTATAAATTAACCATGGTAGGGGTATACCCGGATACCCCTACCCCACCAGGTTCTGAGCCACCAACAGGACTCGAAACCTACCAAACATACCAATAACCATTTACATAACCATTTACATAACCTTCCTAATGGGGAGTCTATCCCGCCGCTGTGACAAAACGGGACAACCCAAGTGTAACCAAAAAACCCAGGGAGGGAGGGTGGGACAAACTCAGCCAGGCAGGCAAGTTAAAAGTGACTCTTCCAAGATGTGTGCCTATTTATATAGCCCAACCCTTTACCCACAAGCAACCAATCCAAACTAGCTTCCTCCTATGCCTGCCTCCTAACCCCTGTCAAGGCCCCTTTCCACTAAGCTGTGCTTTTGCTACATGGGGCTACACTCTAGTGTCAGGAATATAAGAATGTATTCCTGACACTATAGGTCTATATGTGCTATTTAAGCCCTGTTAAAAAGGTATAATACTCACCTTATTTGCAGTACTGAGTGGGTCTCATCATGGCTGGCTCCGTCCCCACAAGCCTCCTGGCTGAGATCATCAAATTTAACAATCTCAGCCAATCCAGTGGATTCAGTTAGGAAAGCACTGGGAGGCTATTGCAAATGGTCGACAAAATGCCATGTTGCGACAATCAACAACTTTCCTTATAGAGATCCATAAAGTCAGTGCATCTCTATGAGGAACATTTAGCGCCTCTATGCAAAGCATGGAGATGCTGAACGTCAGTTCTCTGAAAAGGCAGGGTTTACATGAAAAAGCTTACAGGAACATACTATGCTCTGGTGACTACAGTGTCCCTTTAAATTTAAATTAAAGCTCTGGCAAATTACACCACAATACAGTTGAATCCAGGCACAACCAAGGCTGAAAAAAAGAGAATAGATAGATACACTGTTTAACTTCTCCACTTCTCTGTATACTTTATATACGCCAGGTGCAAAAATATTTGTTAAATATAAACAAAATATTAAAATTTATGGGAACCTTTAATGAATAGTTTTTACACCTGTGCAATGTATTATAAAAATGTGTAACATTCTTAAAGGACCACTATAGTGCCAGGAAAACATACTCGTTTTCCTGGCACTATAGTGCCCTGAGGGTGCCCCCACCCTCAGGGACCCCCTCCCGCCCGGCTCTGGAAAGGGGAAAAGGGTTAAAACTTACCTTTTTCCAGCGCTGGGCGGAGAGCTCTCCTCCTCCTCTCCGCCCCGTCGGCTGAATGCGCACGTGCGGCAAGAGCTGCGCGCGCATTCAGCCGGTCACATAGGAAAGCATTCATAATGCTTTCCTATGGACGCTGGCGTCTTCTCACTGTGAAAATCACAGTGAGAAGCACGCAAGCGCCTCTAGCGGCTGTCAATGAGACAGCCACTAGAGGAATTGGAGGAAGGATTAACCCATTTACAAACATAGCAGTTTCTCTGAAACTGCTATGTATATAAAACAATGGGTTAACCCTAGAAGGACCTGGCACCCAGACCACTTCATTAAGCTGCCTAGAGTGGTCCTTTAATAGATAAAAAAAAATCACTTATAACTCCATTTGACATGTTTGAAATTTGTTATAGTTTTATGCATGTCTGATTTAAAAAAAAAGAAAAAATGTAACATCGCAAAATTGCATCTATTTTAATTTAAATATTAATTAATTATGTGCATTCAAATTCCCGTTATGGGAATTATTTCACTGAATGAACACTCAACATGGATTGCTTTTAAACAATGTATATATTCTTGCTGAACTAATCCAACATATTCTGTCCTTGTGTGTTAATATGAGTTAATTGATATTTGTATTTATATTCATAAGCAGAAGTGAAGTAGTCCATTAAGGTAAGTAGAGCCATATTCAATCTATCTACATAATGCAATAGTAAAATACCCACTAAAGAAATACATTAATTACCAATAAATGTCCAATACTTGGAAAATAAATAATTCACGTTTGATGCCTGTTGAGGGTTATGCATATTTTTTTCTAACAAATTGTTGAATTAATGTAAATATTAAACCACATGTAACCAATGTAAATATTAAACCTGTTGGACATTGATGTACCTTGTTAAAGCAACACTACAGCTTTAAGAATGCAAACATGTATTCCTTGCCTTATAGTTCTTATATATCCATTTAGGTCACCCACCGCAACCTATGAAAGCTTGAAAGGTGAGTTTTACTAGGCTCGCAACACCAGCTTATGTCTTGTCGCTCCACCTTTCTGGCAAGATTCATAGTGAAACATTGAGAAGCAAGTGCGGATGCATGGAACCAAGCAGCACCAACAGGCCCGGACTGGCCATCGGGCACACCGGGCAAATGCCCGGTGGGCCGCGGTGTCCGTGGGGCCGAGGCCGGCAGGGGAGGTCCCAGGATCTCCCCTGCCGGTCTATGCAGGGCCGGCACTCTCCTAGCGCCGGCCCCGCTGTTTGCCACGACGGGCCGGTGGGGAGATCAAGGATCTCCCTCACCGGCCCACATGCGGCCGCCGGCGGGGAGGGAGGGAGACAGCCAGCCAGGCTGGAGAGAGGACCCGGCGGAGCTCTAATTTGCGGCTCCGCCGGGATCCTCTCGCGAGATCCGGCGCGTTGCCATGGCAACGACCGGATCTCGCGAGGAGTTCACTCACCCATGAGGACCACCAGGGAACACTGCCTCCCCGCCTCCAGTCCCAGCGTGCCGGTCCCCCCCTCCCAGGCTAAAGGTAAGAAGGGAGGGGGGGGAATAATACCTGTTTTTTTTTTATTATTTACCCCCCCTACATACACACAATAACATTTATACAGCACTCTCACACCCATCACACACAGCACTTTCTCACACCCATCACACACAGC